CTATAAAATCCAATGTGCCCATAACATTCAGCACCAAAATTTACCCCTACTGATCATCTTTGGACATATTATCTAGAGTGGCCCATATTGATTTCCATCGAGAACAGACAAACAGATCGAGAAACTTCCACAAATATGTATTAGATATCAAGAGTACATAATAGAGATTATCTATTTATATCGACGGACCCTCTCGGCTGTTATAATGTTTGTGTTAACTTGGAGAAATGTTACGACTATGTTAAGATCTAACTATGTATGCGATCGGGTCCTTTAGAGAATTAAAAACAACCTAGGGGACGTTTCTTACAAGTTTAACTACAGTTCAACAGCCTAAATAGAACTCAGGTTTCCTAAGGTGACGTTTCTTGCATGTTTAACTACAATTCAACAGCCTCAATAAAACGCAGGTTTCCTAAGAATCTATGCAATTTTCGGTAAGTCGAATACATAGAAATGTATGCAAAAGATATTAAAAAAACACAAAATTACAGTTATTACCCTCTCGCCCTCTCACCCTTTCGCCCTAGCACCCTCGAGTACAAAAATGCGGAACCTAGCATTGCGCACGGCACACACACACGCAAGTCACGGCACACAGAATTTTGTATAAATATAGCGGTATTTCTGAGTAAAAGCATATGTCAACCTGAGGTGTGTAGACATCACGCATCTAGACAAGCCAGGCACCGCTGCATACGTAAGCAAACCTGTTCACAGTACTTTGTTTTATTTTTGCATTGTCACTTGTATAGCCGGTATTGTGTTCATTGTTGACTGTATTGCATGATAACTTCTTAATTGATAAATTACAAGTTTTATGTGGTATTCTCACGTCTATTAATTCTTATTGTCATATGTGTGGTGTATAGCGTAGCACATTAAGTAAGTCATTAATACTCATACGCCATAGTGATTTACGTACAGCAAGCTTCCGGGCTCAGCTATAATTGGTGCCATAGACCAGAGCTATGGCTGTGCTACGCCATTTTATTACTTATCTAACCCACGTGTGTCTACTACTTTATTCACCGTGTGTCTGCATACTGCCTCCGGGCTAGCATTCTACGTGCCGCTCCTGTCACCGATATCAGCTGATATTTTGCTTTATGCATCATCCTTGATACTGAGTGTGTAATACTCATTTTTCTACTCCTTGCACCCCCCTCGCACTGTGCGGCGTATTGCTACCCCTTACATCATTCAACCTCTATTCCCGCCTTATAATGACTACTAAACGCTCCCCCAACAGAATGACCCATTATTTGACGTGTCAGCTGACGAAACAGCCGACACATCCGCTGAGGAAATCACGTTTCCTAACCTGCATTTATGTGCACTTATGAAAGAATTTTAAAGTTTGATTTTGGTTGGTAGGTTTCATGAGTTTACGGGGCGCGATGATACGCCAGTGTCATTTGCTGAGTGGCTATTAAATCTCAAGCGTTTGATTTTTATTATTGATGAACGTGATGGTGGCAGACGTGCGAGGCTGGTACTGCGATTGTTAATGGGTGAACCTGCCAACCATGTGGCAGAGCTACTAAGTGTAACACCGACTATTGGCTGGACAGAATTGTATAAGCTTCTAAAGAAATGTTATACTGACTCGGGTAACGTTGCAATTGCCCTTCAACCATTTTAACGGGATAAACAAAAATCACATGAATCTAGACAATCATATGCAAAGCGACTTGAGGCACATGCACGCACCACATTTGGCACTATACAGAAAACTGACACTTGCCCGTCTGATAGACCAGTTCGTGGATGGCATAAAATCAGACTCACCTAAAAGAGTATTGGTAAAACAACGACCTCAGACATTTACCAAGGTTGTGCAGCTCGCCATGACAGAGAGCGCATTGGACATGGAAGCCCGTCAGCCGGGACACTTGCGCCACCTACCGAGCTCGTGCGGAAACTCCTCGCAAAAGACGGCGACGGATAAGCTGATTCCGATCCAGAGATCGTCTGCGAATGCAGCTCCGATCGACAGTCCGTCGACGAAATTATGCAATCCGTCGCCAAATATGATCATCCACGCTACGGCGGCGATGACGCTTTCTTCCGGGTCAAATGTCCCGTGCGTGTGTCCGTGTGACAGCTGTAGAAGGGCAGGGTGGTATTCGATGATTAGTTATCCTATCGATTATTGCAACCAAACTATACTCAATAAATCGATACTTAGCAAAGACCGCGGACGAGTCAGCTTCCAACACGTGCGTGCGTGCGTGCGTGCGTGCATGTATGTGCGTGTGTACGCACCTTGCACGGGTCACCTTCTAGCACAGCGGTTTTTAACCTGGGGTCGTGACCCCCATGGGGGTCGTTTGGAGTTTTGCCGGGGGTCATGAATGGGTCATAAATGAGACAAATCCATTTAAATTCTATATAATTATCAGGGTGCTACACATTTTTGTACTCACTTGCCCGACAGAGCAAGTGAGAAAAAAAATTTGGTTGCCCACAAGCCCAATTAAAGCACTTGCCTGATTGCCTGATAGCTGTGAAGCAATTTCAGCTATCCCATTGTCTGAGTATTGGCAAATACATGTTTTCATAAATCGGGCTGTTTTTTTCAATTTTTGTTTCGGGGGTCACGGTACTGACGAAGAATGTATGATGGAGTCGTGGTGCCAAAAAGGTTAAGAACCACTGTTCTAGCACGAGCGTGTGATCGTGCGTGTGTGCGTGTATGTATGTGCGTGCGTGCGTGTATGTGCGTGCGTACGTACCTCGGCCGGCTCAGCTTCCAGCACGAGCGTGTGGTCGTGCGTGCGTGCGTGCATGTATGTGCGTGCGTGCGTGTATGTATATGCGTGCGTGCGTGTATGTATGTATGTGCGTGCGTACGTACCTCGGACGGCTCAGCTTCCAGCACAAGCGTGTGGTCGTGATTGCCGACGTGTCCGTTCTTCTCCTCCGGTAGGTGAATGATCCTGAGACCGACGACGTCATTAGAGGGAGTTATATTGAGCGAGGATGCCGTAGACTCATTGTGCAGAATCCTTGCCCCGTGTTTGGCTTCTTTACGCATCTACAAGGAACGTATAGATACACACTGTTATATGATAGAAAGAGAAGGGGGAGCACGCGCGCGCGAGAGAGAGCAAGAGCGAGAGCGAGAGAGAAAGAGAGCAATGAAGAGATAGAGAGAGAGAGAGATGAAGAGATAGAGAGAGAGGGAGAGCAAGTGGGAGAGGAAGAGTGTGTGTGTGAGAGAGCGAGAGAGAGAGGGAGTTAGAGTAGTGTCAATCCCAGGAGTCTGGACCAGGAGGGTGGCTTGTGATTGGTCAAGACAAATTTGACTCCAACACTTTGTATAACCCTAACCCTGTGGCTCCCCTTGGTGGCGGAAGTGACGTCATAGCCTGGAAGTGACGTGGCGCCCTTGGTGGCGGAAGTGACGTCATAAACCGGAAGTGACGTGGTGCCCCCTGATAGCAGAAGTGTCGTGGTTCCCCTGGTGGTGGAAGTGTCGTGATGCCCCCTGGGGCGGAAGTGACGTCATAAACCGGAAGTGACGTGGTGCCCGTGGTGGTGCATTTTGAACCCCAATTTTTTGTTACTAGCCTAATCCTAACCTCACTCAGTGACGTCATAGAACTCTCTATGAAGCCTGCCCTCCCATACCTTGGTACTATATTTGAGGGGGGCTTAGCCTGCCCTCGTTAATCTGGTAAAAGTGCATGATACCCTGTTATGAGTTTATATTCTAAATCATCCCTCGCTATTATTATCTGATGAGGAATGAAAAACAGGATGGGCGTATGAGTTAAAGGCATAATAGGCCCATTGATTATGCAATGTTGACGAATGCTACAGTAACTGGCACCTTGTGTAGTTAATAAATACATAACCTTACATCCAAACGCGTATTAGCTTCCCAAAAACAAGGCCGGGTAAAATAAAAAAAAAGACTGAAAATCGGTGGTGAAATTTATCAACGTATCATTTACGTGCCGTAAATGTCATCCAGGAGTCAAGCAATGGCGTAAAACATTTGTTTGGCCCGTATGTTTTGGACGCCATATGAAATGGAGGTGCCAGCGGTGGTTCGTGTTTCATACGTGGATTCCACGATCATTACAATTATCGCTAGCGTGCCAGTTGAGCTTTCAAGCAGCTGAATGGTAACAGCTGGACATGATCTAGCAGTGCGCAGAGATACTGCATGAACGAATGCGCACTCAGACCACAAGAATCGAAATCACTGATTATAGCATTGCGTACGTCTGAGCATGCGTGCGAAAATGTCCGGTGCACTATAATCTGTATCACACCCGCTTCGGCCGCTGCGGTTTGAAACTGTAAACAACTGATTTATTTGACTGCTGATATCAATTATACATTTCTTAGTAACCAGCAGTGATATTGGACAAGCTAATACGCGTTTGGATGTAAGGTTATGTACTTATTAACTACACAATGTGCCAGTTACTCTAGCATTCGTCAACTTTGCATAATTAATGGGCCTATTATGCATTTAAAACAGGATGTGAACAGGAATTTAGTGTTTCGATTATATTTCACAATTAGTTTGTAAACGTGTTAAATCACGTACAACCAATGTTCTGTGGCTATAAATACCGTGCCAGATTAGGTCAAAGGTTAAACAGGAAGAGACAATAATCTATTATTATTCACTCCTGATAATATGATATATAATATGACATATATGATACAGGGAATGGACGCACACTATGTGACATATATAATAGACATATATAATAAATATATATATATATATGGACATATTTATATGATACGAGGAAATGGATGCACAATGGTGACTCTTTACGCTTCTACACTGGAATACTATATTAGTACACTCTATGACATATGATAGAGGGAATAGCCATATATATAGGGGGTGCTTTATTTCTCTAAGTCCCAGAATCAAGTGTTCGCATATGCATTATCATGCTTGGCCTTTTTAAGCCCTTCTATTTAAATATATATATTGTATGATATAAATTATATTATATTATCATATATTGTAACATGCGTTGTACAGATGTTTAACAAAAGCTAGTAAGCTGTAGCCTAGATTTGAGCTGAAAATAGCCCTGGGTTGGTAACTTGGGTTAGGTGCAGTGTTTAGCATGTAGCGTTATGATAGTACGTTTGCGCCGGATCAGCTCGTTGATTAGACGTTGCTTAGTTTAGGAATATTAGTCTAGACGGTTGCAGGGGATCGCCGGTTTTAAGGGCATGTGGTTGTATGGCGACGGAGTTTGAAAAAGGCAAAGAGCTAGGTAGTTGTATGTGGTTGGTATAGGAAGAGTTTGCGACTTGTTGTGATTGGTGGAGCGTGGCATATAAATAAACATTTGAAGAGAGATCGGGAGAGTTGGAGTCTAGCATTCGAAGTAAGCGTGTACCACGTAGAGGGGGGGGGGGGGTGGGGGGGGGGGGTGCCTCTGTTATTTGTAAACAATATATTTTTTACTTGTGAACACAAATTTTATACTTCGTCTATTGATTATTTGATTGATATTCGTCTAAATTATTTCAAATCTTGGTGTAACATCTACGCTACATTTTTGGTGCCGTGACCAGGATCTTGGGTTAACAAATCTCGTTGAGTTTCGTATTGAGACAGGTACAACTCGTCTGTTCAAAACAAAACCATATCGGATGAGTCCGAAACAGCAAGATATTGTGCAGGAGAAGGTGTCCGAGATGCTTGACAATGGCACCGACGTTTCGTCTTTATCTCCTTGGTCTAGTGTGGTGTTGCTCGTTCCTAAAAAGGGTGATCAGTGGAGAATGTGTATTGATTATCGTAGATTAAATGCTGTAACATCCAAGGACAACTTTCTGCTGCCGATTATTGATGATATTTTGCAGAATTTCGGCAATGCAAAATTTTTCTCGACACTTGACCTCAGATCAGGGTATCATCAGGTTTCGGTTGCACCAGAGGATCAACCAAAGACAGCCTTTAACACAAATGCAGGTCTTTACGTTTTCCGTGTCTTAAGTTTCGGTCTCTGCTGTGCTCCTGCTGTGTTCCAGAGATGTATGACTATGGCACTTGAAGGGCTTCTTGGGAAAAGTGCGCTGGTATATATCGATGACATCATCGTATTTTCGCCTGACTTTAAAACTCACACGCGTCATCTTGACGAAGTCTTCTCTAGGGTGAGAGCTGCGAACCTGAGGGCAAAGCCTTCAAAGTGTTTCTTCATGCGCAGTTCTGTGCCATACCTGGGACATGTGATATCACCACAGGGACTGAAACCTGACCCGGGTAAGATCGAGGGCGTGAGTAAGGATGTGGTTCCACGTGTTCCACCCAAGGATGTGGCAGGAGACCGTTAATTCCTAGGATTAACAGGGTACTATCGTAAATTTATACGCAATTATGCTGTTATAGCACGACCGTTAATGGTGTTGACTGTCAAGAAGGATAAATTTGTTTGATCTCCTAAAGCTGAGGAGGCGTTTCAGTCTCTGAAAACATGTCTGGCATTTGAGCCCTCGCATTGTGCACTCGCAGATCGTAATCTACCGTTCACGCTGTACTGTGATGTGTCGTCTATTGCAGTAGGAGCCGTACTCACGCAGAGAGATGTACTCGACCAGAAACACGTGGTGCTCTTTGAGCAAGCAGTTTACTGAGTGTGAGGCGAGATGGCAGATAGTCGAGAAGGAGTGTTTTGCTCTGGTGTATGCCTTAGAGAAGTTGTAACATTTTCTCGTCGTTTCAAAGTTTACTTTATCACCGATCATTGGCCGTTAAAGTATATTCTAGAAACAAAGTCTATCTGTAACGCGAAGTTGCAGAGGTGGGCAGTTCGGATATCGGAGTTTGATGTTGACATCCGGTACCAAGAGGGGCCGTTGAATGTCCAATCTCACGCATTGTCTAAATTTTCTACAGATATTCCAGTAGAACAGACTGACAGCGAGGGCGACACCACTTCTGAGGTAACACGAGAACAGGCTATGCTCATGAAACCTGTAATCTTACAGAAGGAAGATGGTCAGGCTGCGGTATCTGAGGATGACAATGATACTCTTGAAACAGGGCTTGATGTTTCATCATAGCAAATTCTTTTATTGCAGCAGCAGGACCCTTACGCGAGAGACATGGTTGCAACATTCGAAGCAGAACACCCCTCACTTCGTTAACGCAGAGAGACGGCTGACTTTATATTTGAAAATGGGATTCTTTTCCATCTGGGAGCAGCCAATCATGACGGCGTTCCATGTCGACAACTTGTGGTGCCTAAATCCCTTGTTCCACAGGTTTTGTTGTTGTGTCGGGACCATTTATATGCTGGACACCTGGGCTTTCAGAAGACTTACTTGAGGGTGGCCGGCCTCTACCTTTGTCTGACAGTGGGAACAGGTATATAGTTACGTTCTTGGATCTTTACTCATCGTACCCGAAAGCGTACGCATTGTTGATAGGTTTATCCCTACACAGGGTTGTCCATCTGCTTTCATGACTGATAATGGGTTGGAGTTTAGAAATTCCCCTACAGCTGCCATCTCGAAGGAATTCAAGATCCATTACATCCGTACGTCTCCCTGTTATCCGGCAAGTAATGGTCAGTGTGAAAGGTTCCACCGTACTATGAACAACATGATTGGGTGCTATTTGCAGGACTCCCACCATGATTGAGATTCAAAGCTGGGTCCTATTCTGTTCGCTTACAGAACGAGTATTCATGGAACATCACAGTTCACTCCATTCCTTCTTGTCTATGGCAGGGATGCAGTGATGCCGCTGGATACATTCCTTCAGCCTCGTAAGGTATCGTACACTGATGATCCAGTGTCTTTGGCGCTCGACAGGCTTCATCGAGCATGCACGCAGCTTCAGGAGAACACGAGGCATACACGAGAGAAAAATAAGGTTTTCTATGACAAAAGAGCTCAAGAGCAGGAGTTCATTCCCGGGACTTTGTTTATTGGTTTAATCCTACGACTAAGCCAGCACAGTCTAGGAAGCTTGCATCGTTTAGGCGCCCGTATTACTTAATCGTTCAGCAGCTGTCGGTAGTTAAGTTCCTTATTAAGGATTTGCGGTCAAGGCGCACACATGCTGTACATGTAGATATTCTGCGTTCAGCTTTTCTGCAGGGTGCATGGGCCAAGTACGTGCAAGGGGACAAGGTTCATGCGACAAGTAGAAGGAGGCAGCCGGAACGGAGAGCTAAATTCGTTCAAGCACCTCAGATGAAGCAGAATGTGATGAGTGGGGGGAAAATGACTTGATTCCTCTCGCACAACTGCAGTAGTTGTACTGACATTTAGTGAATTGTCAATAATATTTTTCTACATACAGATAACTAGTAGAACACAGGGTTAGACTGGCGACACAGGTTACGGTGTGAGTACAGGGTACTGTGTGAGTGTAGTTGGGAGTTATAGCATTTACAAAGTGTGCAGTAGGTGTTTGACAAGTGGTTTGAGGTGCATGCTGGTGTTCAGGTAGAGTGTGAGTGAGAGTCTGGTACCAGGTATAAATAGTATAATATAGTGAAGTGCAGTCTGCTATTTATTATTATTTATTATTAATCATATCGTAATTAAATATTTCTTGTAGCATTAAAGGTTCTATAGTACCGGGGACCATGCTATAGTAATACAATGTTAGGTATAAATGTAGGGGAATATTTGTGGGGTAGGAGTAAAAGGGATTAGAATGTTAATGGGGGAGGATGGACATGTTATGATGATAAATAATGTTGTTTCAGTAAATTAATCTGGCTTGGTAAGGATTTTGAGGTGTGGGTATTACAGATGACCGCGGTTTTGGTTTATGTGCGGCCACACATACATTAAAGGCATGGCTATGAGTCATATAAGTTAGGAGAGAGCTACTGTTGGGGTTTTCTATAATTGTTGCAGTTGCAGTGACATGCAGAGAGAAGCGTGCATTAGAGGATCTTTCCGCGGCACAGATTTTGGCGAGACATCGATGGACACATCTTTCGCAGGACATCGATGCGGCAGTCAGCACAACATTTTGGCGAGGAGGAGAAAAACCTAATCATCATTTAGTGACTTCACTACTCCTGCGACAACTTCAGCGATGCAGTACTTCAGCGAGAATTCAACGGGCAAATTCAGCAGAGTCAACGACTTTCAAATTTGTGAGAACAATATCTGTGTCTGTGAGCACGAAGGCAAATGTGCTAGCAGATTATCAGTGCTGGGGAACTTTTGGCATAAACCATTGGACATTATAGAAGAAAACTAAATGCCACAGCACAATCACTCAATCATTGCATCAGCATCAGAAGCAGCAGCGTAGAAGATCAACATCAAGACAGAAGATCAGCTGGAGGACATTGTAACATCGTAAAATCGTCAAGGGATCAAGACTATTGTATTGTAGTGTATTTTATATTGTATTGTATTTATTTCATTGTGTTATTTATATGCATTGTAGTGTTTTTGTATTTCAGGATATTCTATTGTAATTTGTATTATAGTTAGTTTCTGGTATTAATTATTATGATTGTATTGTTTTGTATTTTAGGTTATGCATGGTATGGTATTTTATTGAGTTGTTGTGTTGTGTTTTTTTTTTCTTCTCTTTTTAAGATTTCAGGAAATTTGTCTTGTTTGAACAGATGGTTTTACCTGGCAATTCGTGCCAAGTATTGAAATTTATAAGAGTGGTCAGTGAGATTTGTCGGTGGGCAGTGTAAGCCATAGGTATTGTACTAATCGTGGTCAGTGTAGTCTGTAACACTAAGCTTGTAAACATTGATTTTATTTATTATGTGGGGAGGGTGGATGTGTTCAGTGAAAGGGGTATTGTATTAGTATGGTCGACGGTACGTGGAATTTTATTTAATGTCGGTCTCTATTCGTCGGGAAGAGTCGGTAGCGGGCGTGTGTGTATTGTGATGTGTGATGTTGTGGGGGGGGGGGAGTAGGTGTGTCTATGTGTCGTGTTGTGTGTGTGTGCATTGTGTGTGTGATGTTGCTGTGTGTGTGTGTGTGTGGGGACTCCGCTGCTAGTTGGTAGATATGCCGCTGTGGTATGAAGGTAGTTAAAGAGGAAATTTAGATAAGCAGGGCGCTGGATCAATGATGGGGTCATCGTTTTGAAGAAGGGGGAGGTAAATGTAACATGTGTTTTACAGATGTTTACATAAAGTAGTAAGTGTAGCTAGATTTGGCTGAAATTAGCCTGGGTTGGGTTAGGTGCAGTGTTTAACATGTGGATTATGAATAGTACGTTTCGTGTGTAAGGTAGACGTGTGTTAGTTTAGGAATATTAGTCTAGACGGTTGCAGATCGGGTTTTAGACATGTGGGTATGGCGGGAGTTTTGGAAGGACAAAGAGCAAGGTAGTTGTGTGTGAATGGTTAGGAAGAGTTTGGACTTGTTTGTGATTGGTAGAGAGTGGGCATATAAAAAGACATTTGTGACCCGCTCCAGCATAATACGGACTAAGTCGCAAGTCATTGTTTTGAGTAATGAGCACGCACACATGTCAATGCTGAAAATGGCCTACCTGGACAAAAATGAGATTTTTACAAAAATAAGTTCCGAAGTGCATATTTAATCCGGATATATAGGTTCAGATATCTCTAGATTATTATGGTCATTTTTTATTTATTTTTTTAATGTTGAAGGGCCCCTGACCGCTCATCCCCCCGACTGTGCCCCTTACCCTTATCTCAAAAGCTGCATATTCCGGAATAAGTCGGTTTTCGATCTTCAAATTGCTGTAGATCGGTCAATTCTTTAGATATAGCCAAATATTATATATCATTTTAAAGGTAATTAAATGATCTATTCGGATATGCACATAACTCAATTTGTGGAATTTCCTACTTAATCCTGGTTTTGCTGGAGCGGGTCACATTTGAAGAGAGATCGGGAGTTAGAGTCTGGCATTTGAGTAGCGTGTCCGTGTAGAGACCTGTATTATTTGTAAACAATATTTTCTTTTAGTGAACACAAAATTTGTACTTCGTCTTTGATTATTTTACTGATTAAATTATGTTATTCAAATCTTGGTGTAACTTCTACGCTACAGTATATGTAGTATATGTAGTACATAGTATATATAATATATATAGTGTATATAGTATATATATAAGTATATATATATATATATATTATATATTTTTACCTGCTTGTTTCCCAGGTGTATCTTCATGATGCGATCGGCAAGGAAGAAAACGTAGATTCCACCTGCAGCCAGCACCAACTTCCACAGATAGGTCTTATCTGGATCAACGTCGGCCAAACCCAGCGCCTGCAACACATACGGCAATCGTTGTAACTTAACGAGAGAGAGAGAGAGAGAGAGAGAGAGAGAGAAAGAAAGAGAGAGAAAGAGTGAGTGAGTGAGAGAGAGAGAGTGAGAGAGAGCGAGTCAGAGAGAGAGAGAGAGAGAGAGAAAGAGAAAGAGAGAGAGAGAGTGAGCGAAAGCGAGAGAGAAAGAGAGAGAGCGAGAGAGAGAGAGAGTGAGTCAGACAGAGAGAGAGAGAGAGAGTATCATCTTTCCCAGATAGGTCTGATCTGGATCAATGTCTACCACAGCTATCGCCTATGACACAACACACGGCAGAATGTGAATTAACCTTGTTGGGGTTAACATATACGTACAGAGAGAAGCTAGGGTAAAAAAACGGTGTAACGTAATACAGGGTTTATATATTATATACAGACAGCGAGCGGGAGAGGAAAGAAGAGAGAAGGAGCGAGCGAGAAATAAAGGAGAGAAATAGATAGATAGACGGATAGATAGATAGATAGATAGCGCGAACGAGAGAGAAAGAGAGAGAGAGAGAGAGAGATGAGAGAAAAAGCGATAGAAGGAGTGAGAGACAGAAAGGGGAAGAAAGAAAGAAAAAAATGGAGAAAGAAGAGTGTGAGAGAGAAAGGGAAAGTGAGCGAACGAGCGAGCAATAGAGAGACAGACAGACAGTCAGACAGAGACACACACACACGCGCGCGCGCGTACCTCGGGTATGAGATGAAACACGGCGCTGCCCGCCAGACTGCCGACGCCCAGGGCGATGAAGAAGCTGAGAATCTGTTTGTAGAGGTTCTTTGCCATGATGGGGAGCAGAAGAATTCCGGTCAGTGAGCATAAGCTGATGAGGGTGACTGACAGCACGCCGTAACCCCAAACTGTAAACAACAACAACAACAACAACAACAATAACAACTAGAGCTCTCGACCTCCGCCAAGGCAGCTGAATTCTCTCAATGTGAAATTTTTTATTAATTAATTAAGTGGAAAAATTAATTAATTAATTAATTAAATAAATAATTAATTGGATCCGGATTAGTGCGAGCGTGCAGGTGGGGGAGGACTGTGGTTTCCCCTTAGCCTGTGGTTGCGTGTTTGTAAGTCTACAGCCAGCGCACCTAGCGGAAGTGAACTGGAACGTGCATGGTAACTCACAAACACACAAACCAACACTCAAAAACTCGCCGGTGAAAACATAACCCCCGCCATGCCCCTGGCGGAGGTAACAACAACAACCACGACAAGTGACGTGACGCGTGACCTATTTGTTGTTGATAATATATATTTATTTATATATATATTTATTTATTTATTTCGTATATTATTTACGTGCGTGCGCGTATATATATATATATATATATATATATTAGTGGTACTGCTAGCTTTTATATCAATTTAAAAAAATGCAAGCCTCTGATATGCAGATGCATTTACATTTTAGCCAATCGTAACTCATTTTTGCTCACCCTCAGCCAGCGTGGGCTTCGTGTCCGAGCCGTCGCGATTGTCACGTGGCTTGCAGCGCGTATCCACTTCCTGTCTGCGTATCACATCCGGGCACAGCCGCGCCACTTGGTCGTCGTTAGTAACGCCTCTGTCCCGGAGGTAGACTAGATCGTGACTGCTGAGACACTGTGAGTACAGGTTAATCAAGTTAATTAAGCAGGTCGTTATAGGTGTACTGCAAGCACAGCAGTAGGTTCGCGAGAAAGAGTTATATGTGTGATATGTGTGTGGACTCTGAAGATCATACTGTATAACACTATATAACACTATATAATACTATAAAACACTATATAACAATATATAACCATATATAACACTATAAAAATCTATACCATACTATATAACACTGTATAGCACTATATAATACTATATAACACTATATAACACTATATAACACTATATAAATCTATACCATACTATATAACACTGTATAGCACTGTATAATACTATATAACACTATATAAATCTATACCATACTATATAACACTGTATATCACTATATAACACTGTATAACGCTTTATAACACGGTATAAGACTGTATAACACTATATAACACTATACAATACTATATAACACTATACAATACTATATACAATACTATACTATATACAATACTATACTATACAATACAATACAATACAATACAACACTATATACAATACTATACAACTGTACAATTGTGTTAACACTGTAACATATGATTTACAGATGTTGCATGAATTAGTCAGCGGAGCTAGACTAGGGGTTGTTTTAGTGGTAGTCTATGTAGACAGAGTGTCGCGCATCTTGTCCGGCTAGATTGATGTTATAGGGAGAATAGTAAACGTGTTTTAGGTCAGGCGTTTCTAGGGTCATTGTGAAATAGGGTTAGGACGCGGTCTGGGAGAACGGGTACATGTGCGCTCAGGATGTATGGGTTTTGGGGATAATATATTATAGGACAGAGATGTAGGAGTAGAGAGTCTGGTTGTGATCGCGAGAGAAAGCGCATTGTGCTTATTCCCTGTTAAGCGCGTTTTTTGTCCCTGTGTGCAAGGAGATGTGACATGAGCAGATATTAAAGTTTACGCAGTTCAAGACACAAGTTTGGATTTCTACTTCATCATTTCTACTTGAACTAATAATTCGACGTTACAACACTATATAACACAATAGGACGCTATAAAACACTATATAACACTATATAACACTGTATAACACTATCTAACGCTATAAATCCTACATTGTGAAACTATTTGTCTGTTAGAATGTCTGTATGCATTAGAAATCCCGTATTCAATAATTCATAAAAACGTTGAGCCAAGTACAAGTGTAGTACTCTTCAGCAAAAACTTTTTGATTTAAAAAGAAAATCATTTTTATGTACATTATTTTAGTTGGCAGCTCGATAAAAATGTTTTTGCTTTATAGGTACCTTCTTAGGTTTTCTAGGTCCAAATTACTCTATGATCAAAATTTTGAGCATCATTTAAACCTTTAACATTCATATGGTCGACGTTCCTATTTGTAAACAATTTACTATTGTTTAGTTACTATTTGCCATATCGTTTAGACCTATTTCCAATTAAAAATTAAAAGGAGAAAGCCCTCTCTCTCCCCCTTCCTTGCTCTCTCTCTCTCTCTCTTACCTTTCTCTCTCTCTCTACCCTTTTCCTCTCCTCTCTCACCTTTCCTCACCCTCTCTCTGTCTCACCACGCTCTTTTTCGCTCTCTCTCTCTCTC